ATTCATGAATTTAAATAAATAAGCTTCAAAATCTTTATTATATGACAAAATTTAATATTTAATTCAATTTTATTTAATTTTATAAATAAAAATATATATTATAGGAACAAACATCAAATTATTCATCAAATGCATATTTGCCCAACCCTACATATATTAGACGATCCAATCATTCATAGATTAAAATGCCAAATTACAGGCTTGGAAGATTTTAACATTTTCCATTAGCACAAAATTTTCATTATTTCAGCAACTTCGCCATATATACAAAATCATAATTTTTACAAACATTACAACTAAGGTGTTAGTAAAAAAATCAAAATAATAATACAATTCGATTAATCATGTTACATTTAATTCAATAGGATCTTACTCATAATGTAATTTTATCTATAATTAACCATTATGCCAAATCTAACCAACATCTAGACATCATCAACTAATAATACAATATCATAATAGATATCATAGGAACAATAATTAACTAATTATAAGATTCATCAAAAACAACCCACGATAAATGCAAATAAAAAATAAGATCTAATACTCTACAAATGAAATTTTCATTGGGACAACTCCGAGAGAAGTGAAATAGACACAACCATGGCTCATGAAACCTTCATCATCACAATCAGCATCAACATAAAAATCACCAACTTTCTGAATGAAGCTTTCATTGGCACAGCTCCAGAGAGACAAGTCAAATAGTTCCACGCCACAAGTTAAAAAATTTTTGATGCCTCACCAATGCATATGAAGTGAAACTGACATATATAAAGATATAAAGAGCAGTAACATTATCTTCCACATCAAAAACTAACTATCTTGATCACTTCAAAAAGACAGTACCCACATCTTTGTAAATAAAAAGTAAGGTAGCTAAAAATACAATAAAATGAAAAAATGCCCTTAATTACATAACCCACTAATATTGGATACACCACACAATGGCCTATAACAAAATTTATGCTTTGAAGATCATTGGAGTGAAAGATACATAACCCACTAAATCCAAAACTTCCCTTGATTGCTCTTTGAAGAAGTTTGGCGTGAAAGATACATCTAGCACAACCTGATCATTTATCATAAAAATCTTCATTATATATGTGATGCAATAATGAAGCTTGCTGATGATAATTTGAATTTATTTTTAATGATTACAGTGAAAATGAGTTTACTAACGATGACTTTTGTAGATTTGCAAAATAGTTTTAACATATCATGCAATAAAATGAAGAAATTAGTAGTCTTCACATTAAAAAATTATAAAATGCTTGATTGTTCAATTGAGATATTGAAGGGTAAGATAGCACCAATCTTGAGTTCAAATTTCTAACCACCTGAAACAAAATGACCAAAAAAACACCATAATTATATAGAAAGGGAAATAAAGAGGCTTCTTCCTAACACTCAAATTGAAGGGTCTTCCTTCAAATGAAATTCATAGCTTTTTTTGCAAGTGCGAAAATTGTTCTTTACATTAAGAGATTGAGAAATTCTTTCATAAACT